AACGTTTTTTTTTTGTTACCCTCCAGGGTCGGTCTACGACCTCAAATAATATTAAGGGGATCGTTCGTCAATTTATTTATATATATCTCATATAAGGAGAATTCCACTCGCGGTCATCTTTTAGCCCTGCCGAGGGCTTTGAGTCTGACCAAAAGTTTTTCCATACGGCCTAGTCTTCTATAGAAGTGTATGCAAAACAGCTTGATGTACAGAGGTTAAGTAACCTAAAACTTGTGTTGGAAATTCCCTGTTTTCCCCATAAAATACAAAGATTATATAGGGAAATACGACTGGTCAGTTTTGACCCATTTCCCGATTTTTCCCAGACATGGCAAGTTTTTTTTGACACCCCCAAGCATTCTGCTACCACCTCACAAAATTTCAAGGGGAGTCGTAAGAGGAAATTTTTTTCGTAATATAGCTCATATAATGAGAATTTCACTCGCGGTCACTTTTTAGCCCTCGTCGAGGGCTTTGAGTCAAATCGACAGTTTCCCCTAAAGGTCAAGCCATTGACCTAAACGTATGCAAAACATTAGCCAGATATACCGAGTTAAAGTACCCTAAAGTCTGCGTTGAAATGACCCTATGTTTTCCCCATAAAATACAAAGATTATATAGGGAAATACAACTGGTCAGTTTTGACCCCTTTACGAAGTTTTCCGAGATATGCCGAGTTTTTTGTGACACCCCCAGGCATTCTCCTACCACCTCACAAAATTTCAAGGGGGGTCGTCGGAGGAAATTTTTTTCGTAATATAGCTCATATAATGAGAATTTCACTCGCGGTTACTTTTTAGCCCTCGTCGAGGGCTTTGAGTCAAACTGACAGTTTTCCCTAAAGGTTAAGCCATTGTCCTAAACGTATGCAAACAATTAGCAAGATATACCGAGTTTAAGTACCCTAAAGTCTGCGTTGAAATGACCCTATGTTTTCCCCATAAAATACAAAGATTATATAGGGAAATACAACTGGTCAGTTTTGACCCCTTTACGAAGTTTTCCCAGATATGCCGAGTTTTTTATGACACCCCCAGGCATTCTCCTACCACCTCACAAAATGTCAAGGGGGGTCGTCGGAGGAATTTTTTTTTCGTAATATAGCTCATATAAGGCGCCGGTCAGTCGAGGTCAGTTTTGACCCCCTCTCCGTCGACTTTTCGGCCAACCGTCACCGGCCCTCGTGTTCTATCTCCCCAAGGCACCATCGTGCCAAATTTGACGCGCCTGCGGCGCCGGGAAGTGCCCTATCGGGCACTTGACCACTTTGCTTTATATATATAGATTAGCCAAACAAAGATTTATATAAAATAATTAAGGCCTGAAATAGATTCTAGATGTATTAAGGCCTGAAATAGATTCTAGATGTAGAATTTACATTAAGTCTAGATCTAGAATTTACATTGAGTCTAGTGACCTAGATCTAGGCTAGATCTAGATCTAGGCTAGATTCATAACTTTCCTTCGACAGCTGATCTTTAGATCTAGAGAAATTTATTGTAAAACTAAATGAAAAAAGACAGTTTAAAATTGATATAAGTGTTGGAACGTAATAAATACAGCAAACGGACGTATTGTTAAAGTTATGACCGACAGAAAATTAGATTTAGAACGCGTTAAACTTGTGAATGGGAACACAATTTTCTTCGATAGACGCCGCCATTTTATTGTACTAAAGAGTAAACAAAAACCTGTGACGTCACGGTCCCGCCGAGTGTAGTGGTCGTTTTAATCTTTTTAAAAAAAATGGGTTACTCTGCGTATGAATAAATCAATAAATTAATTAACGTCTTTAAATAAATGTGTGATTAACAGTCTGTCTTAAAACAAAAATTTTTCTCTACCTACATACTATTTTACAGCTTTCCACGATGAGTGCAACCATGCGAGATAGTCAATCAGGCAAACAAACAAACAAACAAAAAAACAAATAAATATTCAAACATGTAAACAAACTTGACTTTTAGTAGTATATAGATAGAATATAGAATATAGATAGATAGATAGATAGATAGATAGATAGATAGATAGATAGATAGATAGATAGATGTACATGGAGGGTGGATGTCTTTCCCTTAAGGCATGTCTCTGCAATCAAAGCGGGCAGCCACCTTGACACGAAGGTGTGTCTTTATTGTTATTTCATTCCCTTTGATCTAGATTCGTTCAGATTTTTTGAGATTTTTTGTCCTTGAGATCATTTGTCCTGATATAATTTGTCCGTGAGATATTTTGTCTGAGATATTTTGTCTGAGATAATTTGTCCTGAGATTATTTGTCCTATCACCATATATATATATATATATATATATATATATATATATATATATATATATATATATATATATATATATATATATATATATATATATATATATATATATATTTATATAAATTAAGTTTCTTTACCACTATCCTGTTTTAAAATCTGAAATAGTTTTTACATAGACCAAATCAAATTTTAACTAGAAAATAAAAACTATTTTAAAAACCATACAAAAAACAACAACAAAAACCCCAGAGCACCCTCATTTACTTCCGCCTACAGCCACAGTCCCACTAATGACACGCTCAGGGTAAAAAAAAAGTAGGGATTGTTGCTCACATTTGTGGGAGACAGCTTTGAGCACGTGCGGAGGACTCTCGTCAGTTGGAGGCTCACTCTCGTCTGATACCTTCGTGAGTCGTTGAGTTTCTGGCAGAGTGAGCAGTAATTAGTATAATTCTAAACTTATTTGATTAGGTGAGCACTAGTCAGAATCATTCAAAACTTTTTTCATTAGCTGAGCACTAATTCAAAACTTAATTCATCGTCTGAGCACTAATTAGAATAATTCAAAACTTACTTGATTAGATTAGCAGTAATTAAAATCCTCGAATAAGCACTTCATATGGTGATAAGTAATTAAAATTATTCAATAATTACTTTATATGGAGACCAGTAATTAGAGTTACTTAATATATATTTCAGTGTATTAAAAGTATTTAGAATCTATCATTACTTACTTGAATGAGCAATCAGAAATTAGAACCACTTAGGAGTACGTGCCATCGTTTGAGATATTGGGCTAAGATATTGATCTATAATGTCTGCTACTAAAATGATTGGACTCGATTTGACCTATATTCCTAAAATAGATCACTAGTTGAGTTAGTGATATTAGAAACAAGTTCTCGTTCGGGCGGGCTGAGGTTAATAGCAATTGATAACCGGAAATTTCCGGTCTCAAGGAGTATTGGCAATCAGGTGACCGTCAAATTTCTCTGGCCGCACTTCCGGTTATGTCATTTGACTTATGAAAAATTAGGTCAAAAGAAAGTAATGAATGTTTCGGTAAAAAGGACAATGATGTGTGTGTGTATATATATATATATATATATATATATATATATATATATATATATATATATATATATATATATATATATATATGTGTGTGTGTGTGTGGGGAGGGGGGGAGTATTACATCAGGCGCTTAAAGACAATGAAACCACGATTTGCTGGGATAGTGACGCGATTTTCTGGGATAGTGACGCGATTTTCTGGGATAGTGACGAGATTTTCTGAGATATTGAAGAGATTTTCAGAGATGGTGGCGAGATTTTCTGTGACGGTACCGAAACTTTCTGAGATATTGGCGAGATTTTCTGGGATGAAATTGGGTCGACCTATCCAATTGACTTTTGTAATTTTATTGGAGGGTAGAGATAGGAATGTGGATATGAGATATGGATCAGTGGGATTGTTTAAATGTTTCGCAGGCTGATTGTTTTTCTTAATATACCTTTACTTCAATAAAAGCTGTTTAGCATCTTTTGCTCAAAATAGCTTTTCCTGATGTAGCTTCTACTAGTGTAGCTTCCATTTTATATCTTGTAGCATTTCTAACAAAAGACATTCCGTATTTTATAATGGCTATAGTCCCTTACTCTAGTCGTATTTGTAAATACAAAACGAGAAAAGTCGGTCAACCATCGTATTTACAAACACTAATCAGAAATGTTGGTCATTTATCGTATTTACAAACGCTAATCAGAAATGTCGGCCATTTATCGTATTTACAAACACTAATCAGAAATGTTGGTCATTTATAGTATTTACAGAAACCAATCACAAACAGCGGTCAACCGCGGTACAGATGTCCCCCGCTAAGTTCACCATCATGGCTGGCCTGTTTTCATTCGATCTAATTGCACTGGACCGTTCATGGAAGTCTGTGTCGTCTGCTACATTCTTACAACCTTTATTTATTTAGTTTTGTGGGCGTGATTGGTTTTTTTTATTTGCCTCAACATTTACGTCATGCAATAAAAATAGAAATACACAAAAATGTGATAATTTGTTGTTTGAGATTGGATACAGTTTTTATGAATGAAAAACTGTACCACCTTATTTGTTGAGCTGAAATTAGGAAATGCCTAAATTCCCAACTATTAGTTTTATATTTTAAAATAAATGAAACAACAAGATAATATTTGAAATGCGTAAAAACTCACTCAAACTGTGTACAAACTGATGTACTCACTAAAATACATTGTTTATCAATGGCATTGTTCATGTAGCCTTAGTGTAGCTAGGATTATTTATGTAATTTTAGTGTAGCTGGTATTGTTTATGTAATGTTAGTGTAACTAGGATTGTTCATTTAATCTTGGTGTAGATTGAACTGCAAGAAATAATAGATTCGTGTTAGACTGTCCTATCAATGACTTTCTTTTGATTGTGTCTCTGGAGACGTATTCTAGGACTTGAGGATTGCATGTCATTTCTACCAAATGTTGATGTCATTTCTACCAAATGTTGATGTCATTTCTACCAAATGTTGATGACATTTCAGTGTAATTGCTACAAATATTACACGCAACCCTCCCGTCTACTCATTATGTAACAGGCTTTAAGAATAAATAGAAAAAATAATTAAAACTTCCGTCCTGACGTAATTCTCTGGCATCAGTGCATTTGGGTCAGCTGAGTTAACAACATAGTTTTCATTAAGGACATGGAGGTCAGGGCATGGAGGTCAGGGTATGGAGGTCAGGGTATGGAGGTCAGGGTATGGAGGTCAGGGTATGGAGGTCAGGGTATAGAGGTCAGGGTATGGAGGTCAGGGTATAGAGGTCAAGGCATGAAGGTTAGAGTATGGAGGTCAAGGCATGAAGGTCAGGGTATGGAGGTCAGTGTATGGAGGTCAGGGCATGAAGGTCAGGGCATGGAGGTCAGGGTATAAGATCAGGGCATGGAGGTCAGGGTATAAGATCAGGGCATGGAGGTCAAGGCATGAAGGTTAGGGTATGGAGGTCAGTGTATGGAGGTCAGGGCATGAAGGTCAGGGCATGGAGGTCAGGGTATAAGATCAGGGCATGGAGGTCAAGGCATGAAGGTTAGGGTATGGAGGTCAGGGCATGGAGGTCAAGGCATGAAGGTTAGGGTATGGAGGTCAGGGCATGGAGGGAGGTCAGGGCATGAAGGTCAGGGCATGGAGGTCAGGGTATAAGATCAGGGCATGGAGGTCAGGGTATAAGATCAGGGCATGGAGGTCAGGGCATGGAGGTCAGTATTTGACCGAGTGAACCAACATTAGGTCGCAACATTTTCATGAGTTTTCAAACAGTTCATTCTTGGAGGGTCAATATTTTTTATTGTGCTATCAAGCTAATACTAACGGTAATTAGACTGCTAACCGGAAAGTCTAGAGTTCAAATAGTGGTTCAAGTCAGTGGAACGTCCCTGAGTCCACCCAGCTCTGATGGGTACCTAACTCACGTTAGGGAAAGTAAAGGCATCTGGGCATAGTACGGACCACATTATCTTTTCTAACGGAGAGGTCAAGAAACATGAACTCTACCTCATCAGACATTGGATCTTTGCTACTACGTCCTAACACAATCATATATTTAGTTTGATTGTTTAATAGACTTAGAATGTTCTTGGTCAACATAAAAGCTACCAGCGACAAGTAAACTGAACTTTCTACATTAAACAAAAGAGAGAGTTGACACTACTATCAGCTTGTTGGAGTAATTTTTTTCTCAGTAATGTGACTGGTTTTTTTTTTACCTAGGTGACTGAACCCCACAGTAATGTGGTTGGGGTTGTACATGGTTGACTGAACCCCTCAATAATACTGCTGTGGGGTTCAGTCACCGATGCTACATCTGTTTAGAATAATGAAACAATTTTTCATTTACACAGACTTGCTTTTGAAATTTCTGTCGTCAGAAATGAATGTGCACTTTGTTTCCTAAAGTTCCAAGTTAACCCATACTTTAAAATTTGAAATAACGGAGCGAAAAAGATGGGCTATGCTAAAGAAAGCTTGCGGACATATTTTAAAATCTCCTGTTAAAGCATCAATTATGTTCTTTCAAAGCTCAGCAGCTCAAGTTTTCAGCAAGCAGGGAGGCACACCGGATCAAAGACCGGTCAAACAAATTAAAATCTGGTCGTAAGACGGTTCTAGACTGGACCGCCGGATATCTGTTCCGGCACCGTCTTAACCAGGTGCCCGGGGTTGAGTACACGACGGTTAATCTATTTATAGACGATGCGCGGCCAAGTGTTTGTGTTTGCTTGTCTGATCTCGCTGATATGGGATCTAATCTAAATATAGCCCCCCCCCCAGGTCAGCTGATCAACAGACTCGTCTGTCTTCTGTGGGCAGTTTTAGAGAACTTCCTTGGTCTGGCTTAATTGATTGACCTCTTGACCTACCCTCTGTATAATTTACCGACCATTATACCCAAACAATTTTTGACAAAATGGATCCTCATAAAATACACAGCCCTTTTTTTTTTATAGCCGTGGCCGCAACCTTAAACTTAATCAATTTAAATAACACTATTTCTTTATTTTTTTTTTACATTTTGAGAACTTCAAAATAACATTCTACTATGTGAGAAAACCTAGAGAATTTGAAAAAAAAATCACTAATGGTTAGCAGAATTTTTTAACTTTCCGACACTGATATTTCTGAACTTTAAATAAAAGACACAGCACTCTAAACAAGACATCGCTAATTAATTAACATCATATTTTCTCCTGCCTGAGCTATTGTCTCTGATCAGTCTGACATTGAAACGGGGTTATTTTAGTTTCAGCATCGGCGTGTGGGAGTTGCACTGAAAGAAATGTCTTGGCTAATTTATCAACAAAAAGGATGTAGCTACAACATTAGTGCAAACTTTTAAGTTGTCTAGACAAATTAATCAACAGAACATATCTAGCTAGAACATTAGGTCAAATTTTTAATGAGTTCAGCAGTGTTGGGATAAAAACGTTATTTATGTTTTTTTTTTCGGCTTTAATCAAGAAACATTCAAGGATACACAGGTGCATACATACAAATACAACGGTACTCACGTACTTGGTACATTTAACGATTACTTCTCCATAATGGCGTCTTGTCTGAGTGTGTGGGTTAAGTAATACGTAGAGCGTGCGAGCTTTCTCTCAAGATGTTCTAAGTCATCCTCAGTCATTAGTGACATTCAACCAACGGTCAAGAAAGTCATCCTCATCTTTTCATTAGTGACATTCAACCGACGGTCAAGAAAGTCATCCTCATCTTTTCATTAGTGACATTCAACCGACGGTCAAGAAAGTCATCCTCATCTTTTCATTAGTGACATTCAACCGACGGTCAAGAAAGTCATTCTCATCTTTTCATTAGTGACATTCAACCAACGGCCAAGGTCATCCTCATATTGTTAATAGTGACATTCAACCAATATAAAAAATGGCAAGATGAGGATGAATTTCTTGGTCGTTGTGTTTTTACTTCATAAATTCTATGAATACACTTTCAGCAGAGTAACTAAATTGTCAAAGTTTAAAAATCGTTAATTACAAAATACATAAATTTAATTGCAGTATGTGAGCTATTCTTCAAGAACATACTTTACCACCCCCCCCCCACCCTAAGTTAGGGTACTTAAAGAAAAATATTCGCACATATCAGGTTTTTTTTTTTTGAAAATATGGTTAAAATGGCAACGGCGTCCTTCTTGAAAAAAACATTTTGTGGAGTTCTAAAATTTCGTAAACTAACTTATGTATCGGGTATGTAACCATTGATTCTTCTTCTACTAATAGTCAGTTGGCTAGTTTTTACAACAGAAAACACTCTAGAAATATTTTTTTTTTTAATTTTCAAATTTTGGTATGGCAAAATTTCATTGAAATTAATGCTAATTTTAATGGTATTTCACCATAAAAAATTTTGAAAAAATATTTTTAGTGGTTTTTCGGTTACAAAAACTAGCCAGCTGACTCTATTAGTGTTAGTACAAGAAGGATCAATGATTATATGGGTGGTGTATATGTTACTTTATGAAATTTTAGAACTCCACAATGGTAGTTTTTTCCAAGATGGCCGACGTTGCCATGGCAACCATATCTCAGAAGAGTCCCTGGTACATGCAAATATTTTCCCTTAAGTACCCGAACTTTTACTTACACAAATAAATGAAAAAGGCGTATTAATTAAAAAGGTTTTCTCCCCATTTTTTTCGGAGCCTCCCCCTTAAGCGATGGATTAAAACCCGCTATTAGATTTATTAGCTTGTGCAACATATTTATACGCCTAGACAATTTAGAGCACAAACATAAATTCTCACACCATTAAACAAACCCATACGTTCACAAGACCTAAAAACACGTCAAATAAAAAAGAAAGCTATTAGAAAGTATTTTGTTTAAAAATTGTCTGTGTGTGGTATGAGCCGACGTTTATATAACATGCCCTCCATGTCTCAACTGTTACAGGATTCGATAAGACAGAAGTTGAACTCAGTGTTTGCCTATATAGACTGTCCATAATACCTCACATCCGAGTGTACATCGCAAGATTTCTTACCTCAGACTTCTCCAAGACTTCACATCCAGGTGTTCTACATCAGAAGTTTTACGATCCAAGTGCCCAGCATCTTAAATTTAAAGGTGCTTAAATCCTAAACCGCCCACTGTCCAAGTGTCCTACATCATAGGTTTTATTGTCCTTAAATCCTTAAATCCTAAACCGCCCACCTTCCTAGTGATCTACAATAGTCTACATCATAGGTTTTATTGTCCTTAAATAAAAAATCGCCCACCGTCCAAGTGTCCTACATCATAGGTTTTATTGTCCATAAATCCTAAACCGCCCACCGTCCAAGTGAGATTTCTTACCCCAGACATCTACAAGACTTCCAAGTGTAGTGTCAGAGGCGTAGCAAAGGGGGAGGTATATGTCCCCGGGCGCCGACCCGAGGGGGCGGCAAAATGGTTTGGAAAAAAATTAAAAGCTCATTTTAGCTGCAGTTTTGCATTATAAGTATAAAAAATATATGGGGGAGAGGGGGGGGGGGGGGCGCCAAATTGAAAGTTTGTACCCGGGCGCCGGGAAGTGTCGCTATGCCTCTGCCAAGTGTACGGTTGGTTAAGCTGCCATTTAATGCAGACAGCGATACATCACACCAACTGACCCCTGGTGACCTGATTGTTTCGGTGTCTAATGTTATTATTTTTGCCTACTTTTTAAAACCTGTTATTTAATTTTTTATTTTAAATTTTGGTTTAAACTTAATTAACATGATTGAATAAGAAATTCCCATTACAGAACCACCGCGGCCAAACTAAGTTAATTAGAACCTGAAATTCTGTTTTTACAAAAACAATATGTTATCTAAAATATAGGTTGGCTTTCGACTGGGGGACGATTTTTTTTTTGACCGTCCTTGAACTTATGCAACAAACTTAGCTAATATCCTACAACAATGTCGGTACATTACGGTCAGAGTTGTCGTGTACCTAGCTGACATATTTCTGGCAAATTTTTAGTCGGACGCTAACTTTAGTCATTTGTCCTTAGATGATTTTTCATGGAATATTTTTTAATAAGATAATTTGCCAGTGAGATATTTCGCATGGAATATTTTATCTGAGATATTTTGTCCGGATATCATTTGTCCTGAGTTCATTTGTCCTGAGATCATTTGTTCTGAGATCATTCCCCAACGAGATATTTTGTCTTGGATATTTTGTCTGAGGTATTTTGTCTGATCAATTTTTTTCTGAAATATTTTGTCTGATAAATTTTACCTGAGATATTTTGTCTGAGATATTTTGTTTGAGATCATTTGTCATGAAAAACCGATAGAAAAGCCTAAAATTAAAAGGTTATGTAGTCAAGCCTCGGACTTCGAACAAATGATGTTCCCAGCGACGTTTGTGATACGAAAAACTGTTTTTTGGGCTGGTAAAAGTCTGGATCATTGTTTATTACGAGGGCAATTCGTAAGGTGAATCACCTGTTCGTAGATCAAGTAGTTCGTACAACGAATCACTGTTCGGAACAGGAAGCACACCAAAACTAGTGATAACACGATGCGTGCAAGTAATCTGATGCTGAGCTAATTTAACCAAAGCTCGCTGGTAATTAGTTGATTTGTCAGACGGCGGCTGTCTGCACGAAATGGCTGGGTAGTCGCCCCTACACGAGACACGGCAGATAACCCGTGTGACAATCTCTCTAAAAATCGAGGAAATAAGTGGTTCTGAATTCCAACTATGTGGAGATTTCTTTTGGAAGAAGTGACGTCATAAGATGAATTTAGTTCGGCCATGACATTTCAAAAGTTGACGACATGTCGTCTGACAGTTGTCTGGTCAGATCCGCCTAGTGACGTCCATGCTGGGTCACGTGGTCGTATGACGTCAGACAGGTGAGTTACAGGTGTATGCATGGTTTTGTGTGTCTCTGGAAACTTTCAGGGGTGGCGAACACTGATGTAGGTATCTATTTTCTACAGGAGATGGGATCCGGACAAAATGCCGACATTGGCAAAAAGCCGACACGGGAAAAAGGCCGACATGGACAAAAGGGTCGACATGACAAAAGGCCGACAGAAAAAAAGGCTGATATCCACGAGGTCGACATCCAATAGGCTCGTAACTAAACTGGTTTTATAAAGTATATTTACCTTGAAAGTCAGCCGACTTGTTGGTATGATGGTATAGGTGCCTTCCCCTCGACAGTTGCCTGAAAGAAACACTGGTTGAATTCTGTTGTCGCTTGATCATTTGTCCGATCATTGCCCGGATAATGTATTAATGTAGATGCGCGTCACGTGATCTCGAGACTTCGACGTGAACTCACTTGTTAAGGACAACGATAAACAAAAACAAAACAATGAAAATAAATCAAAACGTTATCATTTTTTTGGTTAACTTTAGCAGGACGGTCAACTTTTGACATTCTTGAAACATTAACTTTGTCAGATATGAAATGGTCATGTTAGAGTACAAGTGAACGATGTTTAGTAGCTAGTCTACCAGCTGTAATCACATCTTAGCTAGGATGTTAAACGCGAGACAGTGTGTGTTGCGCTAAATCTCCTGAGCCATGGGTGTAAGCTAGTGGTCAAGGTCACGATACAAAAACTTTAACACTGAGGATTTTAAACACCGAGGAGTTGAGACCACAGCTCAGTCAGGTAAGGCTCTGATAAATCTCGTAGAATGGTACCACTAATGAAATCACTAATGGCATTAGCTAGCATTAATGAAATTAGTAACGGTATTAGCTATGATAAACAGAGTTTAATAAACGATAATGCTAACACAAACACCAGCCATTTTGTTTATTTTAACGATGGTCGTACCAAGTAAACTCCGCCCACACATGCACCCCCCTCCCCCTCTCCCTTTGTCCCGTTCCACACGCTACTCATCAGAAAGCTTACTATGCAGACGATATTAAATCATCTACACTACAAGTCACGGTTTAGAACTAACTAGAACTAACGATATATATATATATATATATATATATATATATATATATATATATATATATATATATATATATATATATATATATATATATATATATATATATGAGGTGTATAAAAACAACATTTTAGATTGAATTTGGACGGTGCGCACATAAACACAGCTGTTTGTAGCTATTTTTAACCAATACATTTAGGGCCACGTTACGTTCAGGGTAAAAATTGTTGAAATAACATGCTCGTATCCATGGCTACGTTGATAAAATGATTACACTGCTCAGGTATAGATCGTTCAAGTTTTGTTGGTCTCCTTAGTGGATTTGGTGGATTTAGAGGATTAGTGTGGGGGGGGGGGGAGGGAGTGAGTTCGCGTAGAGCGAAATTTAACAGTTTATTTTCTACAGTCAATTCAGGGTGGCAAAACTCTTTCGGGGTGGAGTGGCGGGGTGGATGGACTAGATGAACTAATCACGTGATGCCAACAGGTTTAGTGACGTATTTAATCATGTGATTCAGGCAGGGGCTGTGACGTATATAATCACATAATACAGGCAGGTTTCAGCGCTCTCTAATCACGTGACATAACAGCATACATAAACACGTCATATCTCCATCGTCAACAGCTGAAGCGTGAACTATCGTCTGCTAAACGTGCGGGGCCGGCAGAGGGCGGGAAGGACGACCCACGGGCAAGTATCTGAACAATCAACGAACAGACGACTTCGATCGCTCGATATCGATAGCAACGTTCCCACGGGGGCCGGTTTCCATCAGTTTTCTGGAACTCCCCCCCCCCTCCCCCCCTCCACAATATGTCTGACGGAGCGACACAATGTAGATCGAGATCATGACGTCTAGACAAGACAGGGAAATAACTCGCGTCGGTCAGGGTCGGTAACTCTAATTTCTTCCTGATTGGTTTTAGCGGGGTAGTTCCGATCACTACCAATAGACACCACGTCCTCAATAGTTCTTGTGAGACCCCCTCCCCGTCTAGACGTATTGCTTCATGTAATGACTCACTTAACGAAACTTAAATTAAATTAAAATTGTGTGTCCTTCACCTACAGTTTAATAGACTTCCCTTTCAAAGAAACAAACAACAACGCGTGTACATGTACGTGTACGTGTACGTGTACGTGTACGTGTACGTGTACGTGTACGTGTACGTGTACGTGTACGTGTACGTGTACGTCTACCCCCCCCCCCCCCACCAGAACGAAATAGAATATATATCGAAAATAAATATACTTTTACCAGTGTCCTCCGCCCCCCCCCCCCCCCGGAAATTTCAAGCACCCCCTCCCCCCTCATTGTTGTGTAAATCATTTGGTAAGAAGAGGATTTGTTACGTCACTCATTCAGTAAGAATAGCATTTCTTACGTCACTCAACCTATAAGAGAGGATTTAGACACTAATCTGTTGTGTTAGGTGATTAAGTGTATCGTGTTACGAGGATTAAAGAGAGGGCGTTTACCCGAGCGCGGGTTTCAAACTAGCAGGTCTGTGATACAATTACTGGCATTACAAATGTATTTCGGGTAAGTTGTTGTGATAAAGACGAGGCAGGAAAACATGCATGTTTACTGTATCACGTGACAGGTGGTAAACAACAGACAGCTGATCACATTCTCTTTGATAGAGATTTGGTTTTTTTATATGTTGTCGTCATGTCTGGGGGGTGCGCGGACCTTTGACCACAGGTGCTTTGACCATAGGGGGTTTGACCATAGGGGGTTTGACCACAGCGGAGCTTTGACCATAGGGGCTTTGACCATAGGGGATTTGACCACAGCGGGCCTTTGACCATAGCGGTGCTTTGACCATAGGGGGTTTGATCATAGGGGGTTTGACCATAGGGGGTTTGACCACATGTGTTTTCTCAGCAGAGGGTCTTTGATCACAGGTGGTCTATCAACTGGTGTTTGATCACAAGCGCTGTGTCCGGCTTTGATCATAGGTGTGATACAATTAACACGATTTTATACATGTTTCCTGAGAGTACGTTAATAGAAATTAACATGTATTTAAAAAAGCCAAGAACTATATTTTAGTCTCCACATAAAGACTGGTGCTAGACCTCATAGATTTATTTTAAATATAAATGAAACACAAATAATGCGACATATAACAATAATGTAGATGTACTTGAAAATACATAGCATATATAAAGGATAAAAGGATAAAAAATGATACAAAACTTGCCAACAACATAGTCAAAGATATAATACATAAAATGGTTAACTAAATGACAGATGTGCTATAGCATGCAAATATGTCAGTACATCTGTTTGACCATATGTTTGGACAGCATCTTGTATCGCTTCTCAGCTGGGTAGCTTGCCCCTGCGACACCTTGCAAGAAAGTTGTCTTTTGCCGTGTGCAGTCCATCTGTAGACCTTCAAGGAAACGCCACATTGTTGGGTGACTACATTGGAGAAGAGACTGAAGACTGTAATGCCATCCTTCACAAATGTTATTTGTTCGTGCTACACCATCGCCAATCGTGTGCATTTGATTCCAACTGGAAAAAAAGCAAGCTTGTCCTTTTCGCCACGACCACGGATGCGACGACCTCGGACACAGCGCTTGTGATCAAACACCAGTTGATAGACCAAACTGTGATCAAAGACCCTCTGCTGAGAAAACACCTGTGGTCAAACCCCCTATGATCAAACCCCCTATGGTCAAAGCACCGCTATGGTCAAAGCCCCGCTGTGGTCAAACCCCCTATGATCAAAGCCCCTATGGTCAAAGCTCCGCTGTGGTCAAACCCCCTATGGTCAAAGCACCTGTGGTCAAAGGTCCTAGGACCGTCTGGGGGGTGTCAAAATTCATCTCTTGGCCAATTATTTTCTGTGCCAGCGAGAATCAGAGGATAACACAGCAGTACGTGCTACAGTGGGAGAGACATCAGAGGATAACACAGCAGTCCTACAGTGGGAGAGACATCAGAGGATAACACAGCAGTACGTGCTACAGTGGGAGAGACATCAGAGGATAACACAGCAGTACGTGCTACAGTGGGAGAGACATCAGAGGATAACACAGCAGTACGTGCTACAGTGGGAGAGACATCAGAGGATAACACAGCAGTACGTGCTACAGTGGGAGAGACATCAGAGGATAACACAGCAGTACGTGCTACAGTGGGAGAGACATCAGAGGATCACACAGCAGTACGTGCTACAGTGGGAGAGACATCAGAGGATAACACAGCAGTACGTGCTACAGTGGGAGAGACATCAGAGGATAACACAGCAGTACGTGCTACAGTGGGAGAGACATCAGAGGATAACACAGCAGTACGTGCTACAGTGGGAGAGACATCAGAGGATAACACAGCAGTACGTGCTACAGTGGGAGAGACATCAGAGGATAACACAGCAGTACGTGCTACAGTGGGAGAGACATCAGAGGATAACACAGCAGTACGTGCTACAGTGGGAGAGACATCAGAGGATAACACAGCAGTACGTGCTACAGTGGGAGAGACATCAGAGGATAACACAGCAGTACGTGCTACAGTGGGAGAGACATCAGAGGATAACACAGCAGTACGTGCTACAGTGGGAGAGACATCAGAGGATCACACAGCAGCAGTCCTACAGTGGGAGAGACATCAGAGGATCACACAGCAGTACGTGCTACAGTGGGAGAGACATCAGAGGATCACACAGCAGTACGTCCTACAGTGGGAGAGACATCAGAGGATAACACAGCAGTACGTGCTACAGTGGGAGAGACATCAGAGGATAACACAGCAGTACGTGCTACAGTGGGAGAGACATCAGAGGATAACACAGCAGTACGTGCTACAGTGGGAGAGACATCAGAGGATAACACAGCAGTACGTGCTACAGTGGGAGAGACATCAGAGGATAACACAGCAGTACGTGCTACAGTGGGAGAGACATCAGAGGATAACACAGCAGTACGTGCTACAGTGGGAGAGACATCAGAGGATAACACAGCAGTACGTGCTACAGTGGGAGAGACATCAGAGGATAACACAGCAGTACGTGCTACAGTGGGAGAGACATCAGAGGATAACACAGCAGTACGTGCTACAGTGGGAGAGACATCAGAGGATCACACAGCAGCAGTCCTACAGTGGGAGAGACATCAGAGGATCACACAGCAGTACGTGCTACAGTGGGAGAGACATCAGAGGATCACACAGCAGTACGTCCTACAGTGGGAGAGACATCAGAGGATAACACAGCAGTACGTGCTACAGTGGGAGAGACATCAGAGGATAACACAGCAGTACGTCCTACAGTGGGAGAGACATCAGAGGATCACACAGCAGCAGTCCATCGAACAGTGGGAGAGAATCAGAGGATAATACAGCAGTACGTCCTACAGTGGGAGAGACATCAGAGGATAACACAGCAGTACGTGCTACAGTGGGAGAGACATCAGAGGATCACACAGCAGCAGTCCATCGAACAGTGGGAGAGAATCAGAGGATAATACAGCAGTACGTCCTACAGTGGGAGAGACATCAGAGGATAACACAGCAGTACGTGCTACAGTGGGAGAGACATCAGAGGATCACACAGCAGCAGTCCATCGAACAGTGGGAGAGAATCAGAGGATAATACAGCAGTACGTGCTACAGTGGGGGAGAGCTTCACGTAGGTCTCCAATCCCAGCCAGCAGCCCAAACTGGTTAGTTCAGGTTGGTGGTCTCAAGCCAGAATCTAGTCTGCTTTTGTCTGCGTCTAGTCTGCTTTTGTCTGCTTTGGTCTGCGTCTAGTCTGCGTCTAATCGGAGAATAGCCGGCGCCTAGTCTGCGGCTAGTAACTACTGGTAACTATTTCTCGGATAAATAAAGTGTGGTCAAGCTAAGTTTATTTTGCCTATTGGGTCCTCGCGTTAAATGCGACCGTCACCAAAGACAAACTCTAACAATAAATTTCTTTGAAAACCCAACATGAAATGTATAGCAACGATAGGAACGGAGAATATATTTATCTACATATGTTATTCTATACATTCATAAATAGGAATACAATTTTTTTAAACGTAGGTTTTTCCATAAAATCGTTTTAAAATAATATCTTGTAAGGTATGAACTCGCGGAAATTGTAGACAAGCCCTAAAATGATCTCAACTTAAACAACAACTTGTTTTTTCTCTAGCTGCTGTCGAGGCCGCACTAATCACAACGACCTAGCCACTCTACCACTGATAAGTGCTACCCTTGATGACCTATTCAATTTTCACGTGTTACCTTCGCTACTAAAATTTGTTCCTAATTCAGATGTTTTCTTCAACTTCTCGAACCGGATATTGTGTCTAGAAGCGATCGTTTTGACGCCATTTTGAAACTTTTAACTCACCGTTCCTTGCGTGCACTCAACTTTGATTCGTCTCTTCATCTTTTAGTATCCATTAATATTGCTTAATTAAACGACGCATAATTAAATCTTCCGCTTAATAGCGGAGTATTTTTGTAATGCTAAGCTCGCAGGTAGGAAATAGTTGTCTTACTTTAATGTCTCATAAAGCTATAAATAGATTTCTCGTTCTTAAAAAAAATCATAACACCGTAAACAGAAATTTAAAAAAAAGCTAGAGGGCGGAGTTATGGCGCCTGTGGGTGAAGGGTTGGTGGGGTAAACGGAGATCATGAAACACAACGTGCTTGATGTAACGAATTTTGGTGTTATATCTGTTGTCATTGTACATCTCATGTATTGGTATGGGGGGGGGGACGTGTATTTCACAAATGACGTCACTCATTTTAGGTTATGGATGCTGGACAGTAGCGTAGCGAGCGGGGGGGGGGGGCATATGTCCCCGGGCGCCGACCTTAGGGGGCGCCAAAATGGGTTGGAAAAATAAATTGAAAGGTTGAGGGGGGTGCAAATCGAAAGTTTGAGCGGGGGGGGGGGGGTGCTAATGGAAATCTCGAAGGGGGGTGCAAATCGACTGTTTGAGGGGGGGGGGGTGCAATCGAAATCTTGAGGGGGGGGGGTGCAAATCGAAAAGTTTGTCCCCGGGCGCCGGGAAGGGTCGCTACGCCTCTGATGCTGGATAGACGTTAAGCTTACAATTTTACTTTCAACTAAATTTTTAAAAAAATTAGAATTCTGTAAAATTATGTTTTGTTTTCACTTATGTGGGGGGGGGGGGGGGGGAAGTTGCTTTAGGCTTCATATAAAACCCTTATATCACATACAAAGACTAAACCTATCGCAAATAATTTTCCTACTTTTACGTGCTAGTCTCCCTGGAGTTTAAACTAAACTCCCGCAGGCCATATCAAACCGGAGCTTAAACTAAACCCATCTTTCTTCAGGTCATATCAAACCATTTCCATGTTAGTGACTTGTTCAGAAGATTTCGCTTATGCTTGTTCTTGTACGTGTGTAAATGTTCCCCAAGGCTACTCTAATTACCGAAACAAACCTCAAGGCTACTCTAATTACCGAAACAAACATTTCGTCTAGTGAAGATGACGTGTCTAGAAAAATCTTTGGTGGCGGCCATGTTGGCCAGACTTTGTTCAGGGTTTACCGTCTGCTGTTACCCGTGGCCAATACCACTGGCCAATATCACGTGACCGGTGAGTAAGCACGCGGACTCGTCCAGTATTTGCTCACGCTTAACGCTGCATGTTGGCCTGAGGCTGGGAAATTACAGGGGAAGTAGACATGCTGTTTTAGGCCAATGGTTTAGCCGGGTCAAGGTTCAACTTTTTATTAGCGGGTCACGTCTTAGCTTTGGTGGCCATAGATTTCTTTTTCCATACTGGTATTTAGATGGCACTTTTTGGTTCAGTTTGGTATTTAGATGGCTCTTTTTTTAAGGATGGTAGTTAGATGGTACTTTTTTTGGTTAAAGCTGGTGTTTTTTTTTTTTTCAGTTAGATATTTAGATTACTCTTATTCTAGTGGCGTCAGTCGACTGCAATATTTCCGACTTAAAACAAACAATGGTGTCTAAGGAATGCTGGGTAAGAAAATTATGTCCGATTTTAAGATAACACGTCCCGTCACATGACGCGTAACTCACAGACGTCCAGTTAACGTGTCGCTCGCTGACTTCCACGTGACAATACACCCAAACACCGAAGTAACAATTCACCCAAACACCAACGTGACAATACATCCAAACACCAACAGTGACAATACATCCAAACACCAACAGTGACAATACACCCAAACACCAACGCGACAATTCACCCAAACACCAACGTGACAATACAACCAAACACCAACGTGACAATACAACCAAACACCAACGTGACAATACAACCAAACACCAACGCGACAATACACCTAAACACTAACATGACAATACAACCAAACACCAATGTGACAATACAACCAAACACCAACGTGACAATACAACCAAACACCAACGTGACAATACAACCAAACACCAACGTGACAATACAACCAAACACCAACGTGACAATACAACCAAACACCAACGCGACAATACACCTAAACACTAACATGACAATACAACCAAACACCAATGTGACAATACAACCAAACACCAACGTGACAATACAACCAAACACCAACGTGACAATACAACCAAACACCAATGTGACAATACAACCAAAAACCAACGTGACAATACAACCAAACACCAACGCGACAATACACCTAAACACTAACATGACAATACAACCAAACACCAATGTGACAATACAACCAAACACCAACGTGACAATACAACCAAACACCAACGTGACAATACAACCAAACACCAATGTGACAATACAACCAAACACCAACGTGACAATACTGTGATGATAGACAAGGGGAAAAATTCCAAGTCTACACAGACAAACGGAAAAAAATTCCAAGTCAGAAATTCCCAAGATGTTTTCTACGCGCGAATACACGACATGACGTCACAGAGCGTTGAGAAATGAGCTGGAAGAAACTTACATCTCAAGCAGACGGCAAGGGGAGACGTAACGAGGCCATTAATAAGATATAAGTATCTGATTCTTCTGCAGCCTCTTGGGAAATTTGGAGAGTTATAGAACAGTTGGGGGGGGGGGGGGGTGGCTCAGATTTGGTCCATTTGTGGCTGAATTCAGTTAGGTTAGTGAGATCTAGTTGTGTGTTGGAGGATCCGATTGAAAATTGCTCTGAGAAAAGCAGATTGTAGACAGTTATATGTTTGCAGTAAAGATCTTTTTGTTGAATAAATTGTTGTCAGCACTTCTAAAATGATTGTAGGAAAAAATCACATGAGACTAAGTTGCAGGAAAAACGTCACACGTTTTTTTTGCATGTAATTTTGATAACAATATTTATTTACTAACTACTTGAAAAGTACAAATCAATATAGATCTACATTTAATAAGAATAAATGTTTACATTTTTGTATATTTATAAGTAAGTTTCAGTATTTTCGTAATATGGTAGTCTGAATGGCATCATTTTGGCATCATTCAAGATTTTAAAAATAACTTTACAAAAAACGCGATATGTATACATAATGCGAACTTTGAATTAGATTATTGAAGAAGACGAAATAAAAAAAATGGGATCTAGGTAATAAGCCTACACGTTTCGATGTTTCAATAAAATATGTTTGTAAGAATATTAGTCTTTAAGCAATTAAGATTTTGTAAACATTACTGCCTTATGTTATTCCCATGCCAATACTTACTTTAATAGCATGGGCGACCGACCAAATACCCTACACCTACATTATAACAGAGCAATGATTGAAGTGTAGATTTGATTGTTGATTAATGAAGTTGCCCTCTACATACGCACCCACCACCTATCTAAACAACGCTCTTCTTCTTCTTCATACCTTATCACGTGATTAAAGACGATGATGGATTCTAATTATAGACTCCTGCGCGTCAAAATGTGATATCTCTTAGTGCCTGCATTCATCAAGGGAAACAACTATTTTCGGCGTGGAAGTAAAAACGTTGTTACACTGTGGAAGATCAGATACGTGTTTACCTAGCTCAGCTCTGAGACTAACTTTGATTAAGTTCCACTCTGTGATGAGCGCTGTGTTGTTTAGGAACATCGCATATTGAACATAAATGTTGAGCCGCTCAGGTTACAAACATGAGTACCTGATGTACGATCGACTATTTCTCGTGTAGATACCCCATGAGGTGTTGACTGTAAATTTATAATTATATCTAGTAAAACTTCTTACACATCATCGCAATTAATCAACTTAATTAACAACATACCATCTCAATAAATCAACCCAATTACCAACACACCATCGCAATAAATCAACTCAATTAACAACATACCATCGCAATAAATGAACCCAATTACCAACACACCATCGCAATAAATCAACTCAATTAACAACACACCATCGCAATAAATCAAC